TTTTTTGAGTGTTGTTTGCTTGATATATTTTTTTCCATCCTTGGAGTTTTAGTTTGTGTCTTTAAGTCTAAAGTATGTCTCTTGTAGGCAGCGTATAGACAAATCGTGTTTTTTAATCCATTCTGCCACTCTGTGTCTCTTTATTGGTGCATTTAGTCCATTTACATTCAGCGTAGTTATTGATAGATACGAGTTTAGTGCTGTCATTTTGATGTCTTTTTTTGTGTGTTGTTCACGGTTTCTTTGTTCCCCTTAATTTTCTGTGCTGAGTTGTTTTTCTTTATGTATTTTCTTTTCATCTTATTCATTGTTGTTGATTTTGTGTTTGCTGAGTCTTTGTATTTTTCTAGTTTTTAATTTGGACTTGTAGGATTGTTAGTTTCCTTTGTGGTTACCTTAATATTTTCCCCTATTTTTCTAAGATTATACCAGTGTTTTATTTCTTTATCGCCTTGACTTCCTCTCCATTTGAAAAATCTATGTCTACATTTTTTAAGTCCCTCTTTTTTGTTTTAATGTTGTCATCTTTTACATATTGACATCTGTTTCCCTATTTTCAGTGTTTTAGCTTTGATTTACTTTTGTGTGTTCCCTATCTGCGTTTATATCTGGTTGCTCTCTGCTGTGTTCTGGTGTTGGGTTGTTATCTGATGTTACTGATTTTCTAATCGGAAGAGTCCCTTTAGTATTTCTTGTAATTTTGGTTTGGTTTTTGCAAATTCCCTAAACCTCTGTTTATCTGGAAATGCCCTAATTTCGCCTTACATTTGCTGGATATATAATTCTTGGCTGGCAGTTTTTTTCCTTCAAGGCGCTATGTATGTCATCCCATTGCCTTCCTTCCTGCATGGTTTCTGTTGAGTAGTCCAAGCTTATTCTTATTGACTCTGCTTTGTAGATGACTTTTCGTTCATCCCTAGCTGCTCTTAATATTCTCCCTTTATCTTTGGTTTTCGCAAGTTTGATTATAATATATCTTGGTGACTTTCTTTTGGGATCTACCTCATGTGGCATTCGATGAGCATCTTGGATAGATATCTTCTCATCTTTCACGATATCAGGGACGTTTTCTGCCAACGAATGTTCAACAATTCTCTCTGTATTTTCTGTTATCCTCCCCACCCCATTCTGGTTCCAATCACTCATTGGTTATTCCTCTTGATAGAGTCCCACAGAATTCTTAGGGTTTCTTCATTTTTTAAAATCCTTTTATCTGATTTTTCCTCAGATAAGTTGGTGTAAAGTGCTTTATCTTCAGTCTCACTAATTCTGACTTCCATTGCCTCAGTTCTGCTCCTATGACTTTCTATTGAGTTGTCTAATTCTGAAATTTTATTGTTAATCTTGTTGATTTCTGATTGCTGTCTCTCTATGAATTCCTGAAGCCTGTTAAATTTGTCATTATGCTCTTCTCTAATCTTTTTAATTTCCTCTATTGCGTGTTCTGCATTTTGCTTAATTTTCTTCCTAATTTCTTAAAGAGTTCTGTATATTAATCTCTTGTATTCTGCCTCCGGTAATTCCAAGAAGTTTTCCTCCTCTGGAAAATTTCTATATTTTTTATTTAGGGAGCTTGCTGAAGCCATCATGGATTGCCTGTTTATGTGATTTGATATTGACTGTTGTCTCTGAGCCATCAATAAGTTATTATATTTATTCATTTTATGTTTGCTTACTGTGTCCTAACTTCTTGTTTTGTTTTGATATGCCCAAATAGGCTGCTCGTATGAGCTTTTTGATTATTGGCACCTTTGAAGCTGTAATGTCCTGTCACCAGGTGCTTAGATCTGTTACTAGGTATGTGAGCTCAGGAGTCTGCCCACTCCTCCTGTGTGGATTCAGCTCAGGTGCCCAGGTAGATAGCCACCAAGTGTGTGGTGTAGACTCTCACAGTCCTAGACAGGCATGGGTGATTGGTGTAGGCACAGGCATCTGGCTGCAGCAGGGGGACACACTCTGAGCAAGGCAGGGACCAGGAGGAAGGCGTGTCCCTGTTCCCTAGAGCACGTAGGTGGGTGGGTTTTGCAGCCGGACCATGAGCACCTAATGCTGTTGGCTGTAAGGACTAGGGGGCACCTCTTATCATGGGCCCCTATCACAGGTAGCTAGGTAGAATGGGTGGAGCCACCAGTCCTCAGGCCCCTGATGTGGGTAGGTGAAGACCCTGCTTAATGGGCAGAGCAGTGTCAAATGTCAAGAACCTGCCACTTCACAGCTGAAACAGTTGAAGTTAGAGTTCTGGTATATACCCTGTTGTACTGCAGTAATGAGGGCCTGCACTGTTGAGATGGGCCCATACAAGTCTATGTAGGGGGAAAGGCACTCAAAGTCCATGGATCCCTTATGCCTCTGCCTAGGCAAAGGAGCTGTGCCTACCTGGGCTCCTGGGTTAGGGGAGCCGGCAGCTTATTTTTTCCTGTTTGTTAATTTGTTCACTTTCCAAGGCAGGGAGAATGGCTCCGGGCATGTGATGCATCCTACTTCCGGCCCAGGGGACTTGGCAATTGATGAAGCCAGTCCGGGACCCAGTGCAGAGCAGGGAACAGGGAGATAAATGACAGAGGTTTTTCCCTAAGGGGGGTATTGTGATTCCCGCTGTAGGCCATGCGCAAGTACTTATCTTTCTCCGATGAGGGCTGCTTCTCACTGGATCTGGGTGGCCGTGTAGCCTCTCTGGCGCTGGGTCTCTCCTGGTGCAGAAAACACACCTCCCAAGGACCTCTGCTTGTCTTCCTCACCACTCACCCCCGAGTTGCTCAGGCCTGAAGGGCTCAGGCTCTCACCAGGTCAGGTATGGCAACTCCTCGCTGCTTCCGAACCGTCTCTCCCTCCCCCTGCCACTAAGTCCGGTCCCTCAATTTTGCCTTAGATGTTCAGGGCTCCCAGATTGCTGTATATAATCAAATCACTTGTTTTTTTGGGTCTTTGTTGTAAGGGTGTCCACTGGAAGCATCTGACTACTCTGTCATCTTGGCCCCGCCCCCTAATTTGGTGGTATCAACTTCTAATAAAATTTTAAGAGAAGATGCTGACACTCCCTTTTTAGCGGAAGCTATTTTAAAGTGGTGTTTCGGAGGGGACAAAAGATATGTTAGGTCATGGGGAAGAGAGAGACACTTGCTGTAGAGTTGTAACTGAAGTATGTCAGTGCCTCTAGAGGACATCTACCCACACAGCTGGTACTTCCCAGAACCAGTCATTAGAGCAGGTGGCAATTCCTGCTGTGTTAGATTAGGTCCAGTGCCTTTGTTCGTGACAGACTCTGTTCATAACCACAGCTCCCTCCCCCACACCCTGCAATAAGAGGGGAAAAGTTACTATTTCTACTTCCCAGTAGATTGCAGAACACCTCTTGTTCTCAATGTTTGGTTTGAGGGACTTTTGTGAAAACTCTTAACTAAGAGAAAAATCTGATAAAGTTTGGATAGCTGCTATGTTTGACATTAATACTATAAATATCATCTAGTTATATATGTCTGCAGTCTCGGAATAATTTGCCTTTGCAGTTCCCTTTTTGAAATTCCTACAAATTTTCCAAGAGCAAACAAGAACCAAATGTAATTCTATATTACCAGTATGTAATTACATATATATTATCTCATTTGACATCCAGTATTCTATGGATAATTTTCTAGATAGAGCCATCCGTTGTGGGTCATGTCTGTTGTATATGTACTGCCTATGAGAAATGAGTATATAATGTTGGTGTAACTAGATTAGATGAGGCTGTCGTTAGACCTCATCACTTGTTTTTACATGCTTCTTCTTAGTTTTGAATCAGCAGTACTTGGAGACCCTTGCAATGCTTGATATTAAACAGCAGAAGATGGCTCAGGAAAACATGTGCCATAGTAAAAGCAGCTGCTTTACAGAGGTTTCAGCTCTAGAGGTAAGTAAGCATGTATGAAAGTAGAACAGCAGGGACAGGTTCTCCTTTCCTGTTCTTTCCCCCCATTGCCCTTTTGGTACATGTGCTAGGGGAGCAGCATCCTTAGTAACTTGAGAGTGTGACTGAGGGAGGCCCTGGGTCATGCCCCGCTCAGTTCCCAGCTTCACTGGTATCATGCCCCTCAAGCATGACGTTCTTGAACACTAGTAAATGTGCTGGCCACTTACTGCCCCTTGGGGTTCTTATTTTCATAGTTCTAACAGAACTTCCTAGGATCTCTGCCTCTCTTTTCCCAGGCCTAGACCACTATGGAGCCCTGGTGGCATAGTGGTTAAGAGCTTGGCTGCTGACCAAAAGGTCAGCAGTTCGAATCCACCAGCTGCTCTTTGGGAACCCTATGGGGCAGTTCCACTCTGTCCTATTGGGTCGCTATGAGTTGGAATCGACTCAACAGCAACGGGTTTTTTGTTTTTGGGTTTAACAGAAGGTATGTTAGTAGTGTCTCATAATCTGGGAAGAGGCCTACAGTTGAAGAGTACTTTCACACACAGTATTTTATCTGACCTTTGTAGTTGTTTTGTGAGGGCTACAAAGCAGGGATTACTATCCCCAGTTTAGAGAGACAGAAATTTAGGCTCAGTTAGGTGAGATTACTTCCCCATGGTGACATGGTCAGTCTGAGGTTGAGCCAGGTTCAGAACCCAGATCTGCTGGTGTGCTGCTAACTGCCTGCTGGGATGTTAAATGTCTTTCAGTGTAGGAGTTTGGCTAATAAGGGAAAAAGGGTTCTAGGACTCATAAAGAATAGGAAGCTAATAGTGGGGCGAGAGTGTCCAGTGCTCATTAACTGAGTAGAACTTTTTAAAAAGCAATTATTAATAATAGCAAACACTCATAAACCAACCAAAAACTCATACCGTTGAGTTGATTCCAACTCATAGCGACCCTACAGGACAGAGTAGAACTGCCCCATAGGGTTTCCAAGGAGTGGCTGGTGGATTCGAACTGCTGACTTTCTGGTTAGCGCTGAGCTTTAACCACTATGCCACTAGGTCTCCTTAATAAGTGCCAGATATTGTTTTAAGTGCTATACATTTAATTATCACAACTACCACATGAGGTGGTACTATTATAATCCCCATTTTAGAAATGAGGTAACAAGGCACAGGGAGGTTAAGTAACTTGTCCAATGTCACACAGCTTGTAAGTGGTGGAGCTGGGATTTGCCCCCTGGGTAGTCTGGGTTTAGAGTCTATGCTTTTAAACACTATGCTCTGTTGATTGCCATGGGTGGAAAACTAGTGTAATAGGAAGAAGGAAAAACCAAAAAAGCTCAATTGAGAGAACATTCAGGAAAAGGGTGTTTTAGGCCAAACAGGAAAGGGCCTTGACCCAGTTAATGAAGAGCCAAGGTAAAGAAGTAGAATTAGGATTCAGAGATCCTTGCCAAAGCCTCACATTTTTATATTGGCCCTTCCCAGCTCTTAGCTGCTCTTGGCAGCTTTGGTAAGGTGTGATTTTTAGGAGTGGGAGAGTAAAAAAGGAAATTACCTGTTTGCCACATGTTCACCATTTGTCCAGTCAACTGAGAGCTAACTTTGCTTCACAATTACCTTTGCTATGAGGAAGAGTTTTCTGAAATGGCCTTTACACTACGGGAGGCAGTGGAAGCTTCCTCTCTAAATATCTCTAAAATAGGATTTTATTTTCAATCAGCCTATCAATGTGGAATTTACAGCAACGAGAAGCTTAGACAATGATTTTATAATAAGTTCCACATGAAACTTTAAAATATATGGCACAATATGTTGCACAGACTGCCCCCTTTATATTGGAAGTAATTGGAATATGCTGTGAAATTAACTTGTGGTTAATTGCGTGGGTAAAAGATGTAAACTACTTACTTTTAGTCCAGCTACAGTGGTCAATCAGGAGTGACCCATGTGTAGAATGTTTTCTTTGTTGTGATGCATGGGTTTTGAGGGATCAGGGCCACAGGCAATTCCAAACAGTGGATCAGCCAACACATATGTAAGAACATGTTACAGGATTACAGAGTATTTTCTTAGTGGTGGGGAAGATGATTATGTTTTCTACATTAACATTAAAACTCACTCCTTATTTCTGTAGTCAGCACAACTGGACTAAACCAAAGCTACGAAGTTTTCTGAATACAATCAAACACTTCAAGGGTCAGAGTAGCAGGGGCTGGGGGGGTGGTCTGGGGACCATGCTTTCAGGGGACATCTAGGTCAATTGGCATAACAAAGTTTATTAAGAAAATGTTCTGCATCCTACTTTGGTGAGTGGCATCTGGGGTCTTAAAAGCTAGCAAGATGCATCAATTCGTCCCAACCACCTGGAGTAAAGGAGAATGAAGAGTACCAAAGACACAAGAAAAGTATTAGCCCAAAAGACAGAAAGGGCCACATAAACCAGAGACTTCCTCAGCCTGAGACCAGAAGAACTAGATGGTGCCTGGCTACCACCAATGACCGCCCTGACAAGGAACACAACAGAGAGTCCTTGATGGAGCAGGAGAAAGGTGGGGTGCAGAACTCAAATTCTACAAAAAAGACCAGACTTACTGGTCTGACTGAGACTGGAGGAACCCCAAAAAGCATGGCCCCCGGACTCTCTCTCAACGCAGAACTGAAACAGTTCCCGAGGCCAACTCTTCAGACATAGATTGGACTGGACTGTGGGACATAAAATGATACTCATGAAGAGTGTGCTTCTTAGCTCAAGTAGATACATGAGACTAAATGGGCAGCTTCTGTCCGGAGGTGAGCTGGGAAGGCAGAGAGGGTTAGGAGCTGGTTGAATGGACACGGGGAATCAGGGGTGGAAAGGAGTGGTGTGCTGTCACAGTATAGGGAGAGCAATTAGGGTCACATAACAATGTATGTATAAATTTTTGTATGAGAGACTAACTTGAAATGTAAACTTTCACTTAAACTACAATTTAAAAAAAACAAAAAAAAACTCACTCCTTATATCTGAGCACGCAGCTCTCCCTGGTGGGAACTGGCAGTGGTGAATGCTGGCGTCGGGGAAAAGCCCTGTCTCAGGAGATCCACATTGTGGATGTGAGTGTTAAGGACTCATAACTAGGAGACTGATGCCAAGGCTAAAGGTTTTAAGAGTGAAAAGAAGGAAGGAAGAATTCCTTTATGTTTTTTGTTCCAAGTAATAACAGTCTTTCCTCACTTGTGATTAATGTCACCTGGCTCTTTAAATCCTAGTCGCAGCTTTCTTTCTTCTATTTTTTTCCCTTTCTAGCTTCTTTGGATCAGATGTTTGAATAGTAATGTTCATAGTTATGTATGTGGGTGCCCTTGTGTTTTGTGCACTAAAGCAGTGTGACACTTAGTGATGGGAGTAATGCTTTTGAATTTAAAGCTTGCAGTCCTTGGAGCCTGCCTTTGTCATGGTCCTGGAGGGAGCCCCTGTTCCTGCGCCAAAATGGCAGCGTCTGCTCGCAAACTGCTTCTTCAGCTCAAACAAGAGGTATTGCATTATCAAAACAGCCAAAGCTTTGGATTTGTTTCTCTATTAATAGAATAAATGGAAGTATCTGCAGTAATTAACTTCATTTTAGCAATCACTGTCTATGGAATTTATGCTTAATTTTATATGATAGAATTAACGTATAAACTAGATTTTGTTTGCATGGTTCCAAAATACTAATAGTACTTGACATAATATTTGAAGCCATGTACAGTTGCTTACCTAAGTTTGTCATTAATATTTCCTGAATTTGTATTTCTCTTATCTATACATGGCCCTAAAATTACTATGTAATAGAAGAAAAAGGCACATTTATGCTTCTTAAAATTGCTAGGAAAAGCAACATTGATTAATGGAAAGATAAATTTATCAGAAAGGCAGCAAGGTATGGGGAAATAACTTCGTGCCAGACAGACCTAGATTTGAATCATAGCTCCATCATTTCCTAGCTGTGTGACTTTGGACAAGTTAAGTCTTAGTTTTCTCATATAATAAACAGAGGGCGGTGACTACCTTGGAAGGTTAGTATGGGGAATAGAATAAATGGGCATATAGTGTTTAGCACAGTGCCATGTACATGTCAGGCATTTAATCAAATGGTAGTTGCCATTAAAATTAGGCTTGACTTACAAATACAGTGCATGTAGTTCTAAAACCTTTTACCTTTACTGAAGGTAGGGATTTGAATTAAAGTCTTCAGAGAGTATAGAAAGCTAACAGCTAAACATTAGCAATTCACTGAGAAAAAAAGAAAGTATGGTTATAAGCATAAGATGACATAGATGAGAGTCAGGGTCAGCGACGGGAGATATTCAAAGGTGGTATTCACAATTATTTTTGGTGTTATTGTCTGGAATGGCACAAGACAGAATTCTAATGTAGCCTTTGCCATCCTTTCTTCTTTCTCATTGGGCCCTTCCTCCTGGAATTTGGGCAGGATGCACACAGGGCCAGTCTAGAGTAGTGAGGTCCAAGAGTTAGATTAGCAGGGAGTTGACAGGCACCACAAGGGAAACTGCTGATGATCTAGTTCAGAGTGGGCAGCTACTGCAGAAGAGAATCAGCAAGTACTAATTAGTCTAAGTAGCTGAAAGGGATCCAAGGCAATAGACCTGTGTTAGGCACCGAGCGTGACTGGAAACAGGGAGACTGCTAGTCATACTCAGCCTTCAGGCAAGAATAGTTCTGGTTTTGCCTCTGATACCTCCCAAACTTTTTTTCAAAAACAGTTGGAACTTTTACAGAAGAGTAAAGAAGAAGCTTACATAATGGCAGACGCATTCAGAATTGCATTTGAGCAACAATTAATGAGGAAAAATGACCAGGCACTAAGATTGACACAAATGGATAAAATGTGTAAAAAAGCAACAAAACAGATAAATTGGAAGCACCTTAAAGAGGATGGTAACTATGAATTATAATGACAACAATCAGATGTGCTTTTAGTTGTTTTTGATTATAATCAGCTAATTATATTGATTAATTGGGCATGGTTAAACCCACGTGGGATAATATAACTAAAATGATTCACTTATAGTTGTGACTTATGTCAAATTTAGCAACTGTGGAGAAAATGGGAACACTGAATGTTAAGATGCAGATGAGCTACTGGGATCAACAAAACAATAAAATAACAGGAGAATCTCTTTTTTACTATTCTTCTGTTTCATTTAAACAAGACCAGGTTTGTTGTTGTTAGTGCCATTGAGCTGATTCTGACTCCTGGTAACCCCATGTGTGCAGAGTAGAACTGCTCCATACGGTTTTCAAGGCTGTGACCTTTCAGAAGCAGATCACCAGACCTGTCTTCCAAGGCACCTTTAAGTGGGTTCTAACCGCCAACCTTTTGGTTAGTAGCTGAGTGCTTAACTATTTGTGCCACCCGGGGACTCCATTAAGACCAGGTTTAGTGTCTGAAAAAATACAGAGAATCACAAAGGGGAAAAAAAAGACTAGGTTTAGTGAACAAAATATGTAAGAGTGCTCAGTGATTAAAGAGGAATGGCCAAGAAGGAAATAATATGAAAATGACAGTAAAACTCAACATTAAATGTGTCTATCTAATTAAACTTTATTGAAATGTGTGATTCTGGAAGAGATATTTAGGGGTAGAGAAAAAAAATCTTGTGTTAGGAAACCAAATATTTTTATAAAAAAATGGAATAGAAGTTTATATTTAGGTTTTGGTTCACAAACCTATCAAAAAGTCATGATCATTTGTTAGTATTATTGTATTAATGTAAACAAAATATATAAAAATAGCACAAGAAAATAATATTACAGTTGAAATAGATTCCATATAAACAATGTAACTTATGCTGTAGAAATTTTAGTTTCTCTAGTCAATATCAATTTTCATTTATCAGTATTTTTCAGTTTCAGTTAAATATGCCAATTAAAAAATGCCAAGTAAATTATAATTTGAAATCATTTATGAGTAAAGAAAAATTAAATTGAAGTTTATAATAAGTTTAAATGTTTTAGCATGCAAATTCTGACATGACTGTATTTCTAGATTTTTTTTTTATATTTCAAATTCATAATCCTTCTCCAGTATCTGTTACAGTCAGGTGAACTTCAGGACTAATAAGCGTCTTTAATATTAATAAAATATTTAATAGTGGATACTTACTTTGTTTGAAATATTTATTTTCAAGCAGTATGTTTCAGTAATATATGGGTCAACCCTTGTGGATTTTAGCTTCATTAAGTAAACTTTACCCCATCTGTTTCCTGATAGAGTAAACAGTGGCTTATAGGGATAATGAAAAATGGAAGTAGTAAATCAGAACTCTGAAAGTAGGTAAAAGCAGATAATAAAAGCTGTATATTTACAGTGTTCATCAGATGGAAGTCAGAGCAAAAGGGAAAATATGTTTCACACCTCTCATTCTCAAAAAGGCACTCCATATTTGTCCTGACATTAAATTCTAAAATTTCTGATGTGAGACTTACATAGGCCATTGAGCAAATGTAATGACCAAGCCCTCAGCAACAAATTATAATAAATACAAAATTGATTTTTATATGGCTGCTTTTTATAATAATCTCTTGATAAAAGCTGAAGGTATAGCCTCAAAGTCCAACTCAAGAGTAGCTAATTTTACCAGGGAAAAAAGCTAAAATGGTCTGTGTGTTTAGCTTTGTAGGAATTGTTGGAAAACACTAAGAATATCTAGGACTACCATGGACAATGTACATGTGGGTGATTTTCCTCAAGCACTTCTCTCAGCTAGGCCCTTGCTAGAAGCTGTATTGCAAAATGTTCAATGGTATATACTCTTTGAGGGCAGCTTTGGCATTGTGTTATTTGTTGTTGTTAGTTGCCATTGTGTTGATTCTGACTCATGGCGACCCCGTGTGTGCAGAGTAGAACTGCTCCTGGGTTTTTCAAGGCTGTGACCTTTCAGAAGCAGATTGCCAGGCTTGCTTTCTGAGGTGCCTCTTGGTGGTTTCAAACCACCAACCTTTCGGCTAGTAGTCCAGCGTGGCTTAACTGTTTACGCTATCCAGGGGAGCCATGGCATTGTGTTATTAATTGAAGGCAGATCCCTTTGGAAATCAGGTTTTAGTTGTTTGTTTAGATGGTGTCTTAGTCATCTAGTGCTGCTACAACAGAAATACAAGTGGATGGCTTTAACAAAGAGAAATTTATTTCTTCACAGTAAAGTAGGCTAGAAGTCCAAATTCAGGGTGTCAGCTCCACGGAAAGGCTTTCTCTCTCTGTCGGACTTCTCTTCAGTGTTCCCCCGGACTAGGAGCTTCTCTGTGCAGGGACTCCAGGTCCAAAGGACATGCTCTGCTTCTGGCACTGCTTTCTTGGTGGTATGAGGTCCCCTTGTCTCTCTGCTCACTCCTGTCTTTTATATCTCAAGAGATTGCCTCAGGACACAGTCCAGTCTTGTAGACTGAGTCCTGCCTTACTAACACAACTGCCACCCATCCTCCCTCATTAACATCATAGAGGCAGGATTTACAACATATAGGAGAATCACACAATGCCAGGATTCATGGCCCAGCCAAATTGATACACACATTTTTTGGGGGCCATAATTCAATCCATGATAGATGGGGAGGAAGAGTGATGGGAGAGAGAGGAAAAGGAGAGAAAAATAATCTTATGTGCTTGTGACATTCTGTCACCTGTACGGGAAAGCCCCAGCTTTGCCTGTAAGTAGGCAATAACGATAGTACTATATAGGCAATGGAGCAGTGGTGGCACAGTGGCTTAAGAGCTTGGCTGCTAACCAAAAGGTTGGCAGTTCGAAACCACCAGCCGCTCCTTGGAAACCCTATGGGGCAGTTCTACTCTGTCCTACAGGTCACTATGAGTTGGAATTGACTCAGTGGTGATGGGTATTTGCCAGGGTTTTTCTTAAGAGGTAGATTCACATTCATTTCAGCACCTGAGTAAGGGCTGAAATATTCCAGAATCCCTGTCTTTCTCAGCAGTTGATAAACCTCAGGAGTTTTTCCATAGAAAATGTGGCTCTGGGAACTATAGCCCCAATCCTTTTGTCTCAGTGAGGCACCAAGACAGGAAGCAGCCTTTCGAATAACCAGTTCATCTCGGAAAGGCTTTGATGAGTCCCTACCAGTTTCAGCAGCTCTTTCTGAGTTTCTTAGTGGTAAGACTGGTTCCTTTTATTAGTGTATTTCAATAATCTGAAGGGATGCAGTATGATTGTTACAGGTGATTTTATGTTTGGTTAACACGGTATGAACTTCTTGCTATAAGAGATTATTAGACAAGTTCTGAGAGAGGTTATAAACACATTTCTTTTTTTAAAGACATTCTTGAAATTTTCTTTGCTTCAAAACCAAAACCCAAACCTGTTGCCATCCAGTCAATTCCAACTCATAGCGACCCTATATGACAGAGTAGAACTCCCCCATTGGAGTGGCTGGTGGATTCAAACTGTGGACTTTTTGGTTAGCAGCCGAGCTCTTAACCACTGTGCCACTAGGGCTCCTTTCTTTGTTTACATCTACAAATTTTGTACCTTCTGCTACAAATTCATCCTTTCTATGAATGGACATGAGTGTACATGTTTCAGGAGACCTGGAGTATTAAACATTATGCCACTACCTGGACTAGGTGCTTCCACGACTATGTTATATTTAATGTCACAGTAATACTGAGAAGTAGGTAATATTATTCCCATTGTAATATTTTCCCATTGTGGGGAAAATGAAATTCAGAGAATTTAAGTAACTTATCCAAGATCATACATCTAGTAAGTGGCTAAATGAGGATTTAAACCCAGATCTTCCTGGCTCTAAAGCAGTTTGCATGACTCAAACACCTTGGGTGGCCTGCAGACATGTTTTGCACAGTATTTTCAAATAATGTGGATTAGTGGCTGACCTTTTAACATAAGGAGAGTTCACATAAAAATCTGGGTTTCTGGCTCTCTTGAAGACTGTGATGATGTGGTAATACGGATTGCATTCTCACTAGGCAGCTGTCAGTGGGAGCCAAGTAGTAGCTGTGCCAATAAGGCAAGGCAGTGCTCGGTTTTTCTCACACAGTGGCCTGCTCACCTGCGTTTGATATCCTGGCTCTAAATCTGTGCTCTTCCCACTACTCTGCTGCCTGAATCAACTGTCCTAGAAGTCTCCTGAAGAAGACAATTCCTGACTGATTTAGAAATTAATTAACCTTTGTTCATAATTACCGATTTTACTGGAAGTACATCAGTTTTGTATTTTTATGTTTCATCTGGATTTTCATGTTCCATTTTAGGCTTTCTATCACAAAGGAGTAAGAAGACCTTAGGGCAGAAACTGCTGGGTATGCTCCCTTCAGAAAACAGTTCGAAGAAGACTGAAGACCAGGATAATCCTCAAGAAGTCTTTAAGATGCTAATAGATTTGGTTTGTATTTTTGCTTTCATTTAGAGGTTGTGGTTAAGCTGGTCTATTTCCTATTAATTCAACTCTTTGTTGCTGTATACGTCCCTTTCATGCCCTTTTCCCAGTTGGAGTACCATCCTCCAAATTAATCATCTTCATCTCCTTAAACTCTTTGAATGTTCTTCCCACTTTTCCCATATATTTTCTTAAAATATACCATGTTCTCTCTGTGCAGGGTTAAAGCTCTCCCTCTGAAAAGAGGGGTCTCCCATAACTAACTCCAGCCAGCCTTTTTCTCTGCATTTATATATACAGTTCATGACAAGACCTATTTATTCAGGTGTTTTAAAAGTTTTTAATGTCATTCCCCCCAACATTATATCCTTTGATCATTACCAGAACCCCCAAATCAGTTCTGTTATCTCCATTTCATAAATTATTAAAGTAAGACACTGAGAGACTCACATTCTATCAGCGTATTTATCTCTAGAGAGAGGGTTAAAATTATGTTTGTAAATAAAATATAAACACAATTTTATATATAAAAAAATGTTCTTTTAGAGATTAAGTACACGTTGATATTTTAGTTAATGGAAAGGTTGGCAGTTTGAACTCACCTGTGGCTCAGCGGGAGAAAGACCTGGCGATCTGCTCCCATAAATATTACAGCCAAGAAAATGCTATGGGGGCAGTTCTACTGTCACATGGGGTCCCTATGAGTTGAAAATCAACTTTTATGGCACCAAACAACAAGAAAATATACATACTATATCTTTTTTTTTATCTTCCCCCAGATGACTTACAAGATTTTCAATAAAAGGAACACTGTCTTCTTTCTTTAAAAAAAAAAAAAAATTCCTTGATAACATTTAGCATCATACTTGGGAATTGGTGGACACCTAATTAATTTATTCACATCGATTGACTTGACAAATTTGAGGACTGAACATTTTTATAAAATACTATAATATTCCTTTCTCTGAATGTAGCTATATATTCTGTGATTTATTGACCGACTGGTACATTTTTAATCTGTGTTTATGCAGTTGAATGATAAAGAAGAAGCTTTGGCCCATCAAAGAAAAGTTAGTTACATGCTTGCTCGGGCATTGGAAGACAAAGACACTGCCTCAAAACAGAATAAAGAAAAAAATGCTATGAAAGAGACCTTTCCATTCAAAAAGCCCTGGCATAAAACTTCAGAACTGTCTGCTGTGCATGATCCGATATGCTCAAATGTCCAAATGTTTAATTCCATGGGCTGCATTTGTTCAGCCCAGCACCCTCAAACAGATCAAAACTACACAAGAACTCTTAAAAAGTCCCGTTCTTTGCCATCAGATATCATATTTTGAATGTCGCTACACCTTGAGAAGTTGTATGTTTTCCAGGTATTTCTGAATTTTAGGAGGCAGCTTAAATAATCAGATGTTATGGGAACATATTTTACAAGAAATTTATTAGTGTTCTGTGTTTTTTTTTAATTTGTTACATCAATATATTTTATGACTTTTTCAGTTTGCAGAAATCTTAAAAACAAAACAAAAAATAATTTGTAGGAAAAAACTAAAAAACTAATTGTTTAACTATTTAGGTAGACTGTATAAGGTTGCTCTGAGTCGGAATTGACTCGATGGCAATGGGTTTGGTTTGGTTTATAAGGATATAGGAATATAAATTGGCTAAAGCAACAATATACCAAGGTAAATTATTGATCTTAAGAAGTAACAATGCTTAGGAGTGACTGATGTTAATTTTCAAAATACACTTATCTTGATTTATTTGCCTTTTTCAGGATTTTTTTATTTGCAATGTACAGTAATAACAATTTCCTTAACCTCAATAAAAAAAATTATGATGATGGGACTTTGATAAAAGTATATTCAGAGTCATTGCTGGTTACCTCCATAGCCTTCTTTTTTTGTCAGAATGGTGACATTTTGTAACTAGGTCTGCACAGAATTCTGGCAATCAGACCATTTTGAATTAATTTTTTGGTTTTGATGCTGAATTTTAGGCCATTTAGTTTTATTTTCTCTACAGATGTTACATGGTGTTATAGATTAAATTGTGTCCCCCAAAAATGTGTGTTAACTTGGCTATGCCATGATTCCCAGTATTGTGTGATTGTCTACCATTTTGTCATCTGATGTGATTTTCCTATGTGTTGTAAATCCTCTCTCTATTATGTTAACGAGATGGATTAAAGGCAGTTATGTTAATGAGGCAGGACTCAGTCAACAAGATTAGGTTGTATCTTGAGTCAGTCTCTTTTGAGATATAAAAGAGAGAAACAAGCAGAGAGACAGGGGGACCTCATGCCACCAAGAATGAAGAACCAGGAGGGGAGTGCGCCCTTTGGACCCAGGGTCCCTGTGCTGAGAAGCTCCTAGGGCAGGGGAAGATTGATGACAAGGATTTTCTCCCCAAGCAAACAGAGAAAGAAAGCCTTTCCCTGGAGCTGGTGCCCTGAATTTGGACTTCTAGCCTCCTAGACTGTGAGAGAATAATTTCTCTTTGTTAAAGCTGTCTACTTGTGGTATTTCTGTTACAGCAGCACTAGATAACTAAGACACATGATAATAATCTTTAATAACTTTTAAGAATATTGCTATGTTAACAGCATTACAGTATGTCAAAGGAGATGCAGTATGTTGTCGGCAGTTATAAAACTAATTAATGATCTACAGTGAAAAAAGATGATTATGTGAATACTACTTAAATAGATAACATTAGGTTTATAAGGTAGCAATATAAGTCATTTATAGTTGTGTTAAAAGGGATGATATTTTAGTTGGCATTAATAAAAGCTGAAAGCTTAACAAATACATTCTGAAAAAAAGGAAGAATGATGGGGAACTACTGCTACCAGGTATTAAAATGTATTGTCCTGATAGTAATACAAACATTAATTAAAGCAGAATGGTACCACCAGGTCAATGAAATAGGATATAAACTATACATAGACCTAGTTTATACAATTATTTAACATTAGGTAAGGAAAGGAAAGTTTTGGGATTATTTAACAATACTGAAAAGGGCTATGTATATGTTACTACATCTTGAGAAGCTGAAGTATGGAGTTGAACTATGCACAGACTACGGACAGTTAACACTATGTTATTAAAGTTGTACTATTGCATAACGGTGTATTATCCAGACTATTTATTTGTACTGCTGGTATAGAAACACTTTTTCTCTGTTGCTTGCTTTTTAAATTTTCTTTCACCACTAATTTGCCTAAAATGCAGTCTTAGCTGCGTGTTTATTTTTCAATAAAAATTAAAATTTAGCCCCCCGAAAGCAGCAGTTGGAGAATATATCCAGTAGTGAGTGGAAATCAATTTGTGGAATCAAGTATAATCATAAAGAAAACTCATTCTAGCTATGTGTGGTGCAATGGATCGCTTTTATATGGCCTTTCCAGCCATGGTCTTGTAACTCCCACCAAAAGATTGGGTGGGACTGTGCAAATGAGGTATATGGAAACCTAATGTAGCCCACCAAGGGGATTGGCTATCTTGTTAATAATGTAAAAAAGGTACGTGGCACCCTTGTGGGGGTGGGGCCATGCAAATAAGGTGTACAGAACCCTAATGAAGGGACTGGTAAGTTTTATCATCCCGCTAGGCTTAAAATGAGCCATCCCAGAGGCAGAAAAGGGGGGACTTTACTACAACCAAAAAAGAAGAGCTAGGAGTGGAGCGTGTCTTTGGACCCAGGATTCCTGAGATGAAAACCTTCCAGATTCAGGAGACAGTGAGAGCTGTAACACTGGAGATGGCAAGAGATGGCAAGAAGCAGTGGCAGGGAAACGGCAGCACAGAGTCAGCAGAATCAGGAGATGGCGCAGCGGGCTTCCTGGCCCACAGAGCGAGAAAGCTTAGTTCCTTTGGGCGGGAGGCTTGCTGGCAGAGTGGGGTGCCTACGGGCACTTGGTAGAGCTAGGCTTGCCAACCCATGGAGCGAGAGAGCTGAGCACCTTCGGGCAAGAGCCTTGTTGGCAGAGTTGGGTGTCTCTAGGCACTTGTCAGCAGAGCTAGGCTTGCTGACCCACGGAGCTAGAATGCTGAATGCCTTTGGGCCAAGGCTTACTGGCAAAGTGGGATACCTCTGGCACTTATTGGTGAAGCTAAGGAGCTTTCTAAAACTTGCCTGAGAAGGGCAGAGCCTGGGCTGAGGGGCCGAGGGCTAGAGAGAGGCCTGCCTGTGGGCATGGCTGAGAAGAGGCTATCCTGATATAAGAACTGTATTCTGAGTTGTCCCTGATCCTGAATTTTAACCTGCTGCTTTCCTAATAAACCCCATAACTGTGAGTATGGTCTATGAGTTGTGTGTGGCCATTGCAACGAATTATTCAACCCAGCAGAGAAGTAGAGGGTACAGTGGGAGGAATGGCTGGTGTCAGAATTGGTAAAAAGATTGGAGAGGAGGTATGACTTCCACTTCATAGGAACCAGCATTGGACTATTGATGGTGATTCTCTCCTCTCTCTCGTGAAGTTAGAGGAGGTCTCATGCCTCTGCCAAGTCATTTTACATTATGTGAAGAGTTTTGAAAATGAATTTAACAAGCTCTGTACTACTTACCTGTGCCTCTTTATCAGCTACTGTAAATCCTCTTTGCAACGAGTCAGAGAGACAAGTGCTCTTCAAATATGAGGAATGAAAAGGGAGAGTGGTATTTCAGGACTTTGATCATAAAAGAACTGCCAGCCCAGGTGGGGAAGATGACATTTTATACCAGAGGGTCTCAGGTGTGAGGACCTCTCTACAAGATGCTTTACTTTTGACTCTCATTGAATCCTTGCTGCATCATGTGAGGTGGATGTCATGGCCCAGGAATTTGGCACTTCAGTAAGTTTCTTATTTATATTATCTGATTGGTCTTGCTTAATAACTGTTGATCATCTATTTTACAAGAATTAGGAAAGTCATAGTTATTGCCTGGAGAATTATATTTCTTCAGGAAAAGGCTTTATTTCTCCTAAAATATTAATGTTTTACCAGTGCACTACTATTTGGGATATTTTAAATTCTTTATATGCTTTTCACCTAAACTGATAATTCATGGAAAATATTACCTTTTAAAAAACTATAGCTTGTTTCTTTGTTAGTGCTTCATTTCTTCATTGTTTCTTTGGGTGTGAAGTCTAGTTTTAGTTAATCATTTTTCCTTTCTGTGATGGTTAAGGTTGTGTATCAGCTTGGCTGGGCCATGATTCTCAGTGGTTTGGCAGTTATGATTTCATTTGCAGCTATTTAATGATGTAATCACCTCCATAATGAGATGTGGTATAATGTAATCACCTATGAGATCTGCTATGAGCAGCCAATCAGTTGAAAGGGACTTTCCTTGGGGGTTGTCGCTTGTATCCAATATATGTGGACTTTCTAGCAAAGCTTGCTGGCTTTTACTTGCTCTAGATCCTGCAGCTGGCTCCTCACTGGACCTCTGGTTATTGAGACTTGAGCTAGCAGCTTACCTGCCAGTCTTGGGATTTGTCAGCCTCCACAGTCTGTGAGCCAGTGGGCTTCTGTTTTACTGGCCGATCTTGGGCCTTCGTCAGCCTCCACAGCCTGTGAGCCAGCAGCCTGCTGTCTGACCTGCCGATCTTGGATTCATTAGCCCCTGCAGCTACATGAGTCAGGAGAAGCTTCCAGCCTGACACCTGACCCACAGACTTGGGAATTTCCAGCCTCTACAACTGTGTGAGCCATTTCCTTGATATATATCTCTATATACATAAATATATACACACTTCACTGATTTTGATTTTCTAGAGAACCCAGCCTAAGACACTTTCCCTTTTGCTGTTCTTTTTCGATATAAGGGTGAGAGGATACATTACATTCAATGGTAATATTTTAGTATTTTCATTCATTGATGACTTCAGTTGCCATCTTGCTTTATGTCCAAGAAGTTATTTTAGCTAGCTTATAGTTTTCATTGATGGGCCTGCAGACACAAACATGAATACATTTTAACTCTTCTGACCTTGTTACAAACCTCATATCCCAATCCTCACTGTTAAATCTACCCCAGGACTGTTTCTTCTACCAAGTACGCCTGCTCATTATTTCTTTAATTCATCTCCTGAAATTCTTTATACACTGTGGTGTTTTCCAGCTACTGAAATTAGTTGCTTTTACAAAGCTCTGGGGAAGGAAACAATATTCTCCCAGAGCACATCAGTGATTGTAGTTAGTTTATACCAGGTAGCACTGGTGTCCTGGACAAAGAGCTTAAGCAGAAAGGACTAATTATAGGCATGCCATCCAATAATCATTTAAATATCTAGTCGTTCACAGGGATCTCAATAGAGGGTCCAGGACAGAGCTGGAGAAAAATGTAGAACACGTTTCTGAGTCACAAAGACCAGACTTACTGGCCTGACAGAGACTGGAGAAACCCTGAGAGTATAGCACCCGGACAACTTTTTAGCTCAGTAATGAAGTCACTCCTGAGGTTCACCTTTCAGCCAAAGATTAGACAGGCCCATAAAACAAAATGAGACTAAAAGGGCACACCAGCCCAGGGGCAAGGACTAGAAGGCAGGAGGGGACAGGAAAGCTGGTAATAGGAAACCCAAGGTCGAGAAGGGAAGGTGTTGACATGTTGTGGGGTTGTTAACCAATGTCATAAAACAGTATGTGTACTGTTTAATGAGAAGCTAGTTTTTTCTGTAAACCTTCATCTAAAGTACAATAAAATAAACAGTCATTCAACTATTTAAGTTTATGTATGGACTTTTAAATATATTTATGAAGTACTATACAGTTTGCAAAGATCTTCAGCTTACTTACATAGACATTTAGGAATGGAAAGAATTTTGGAGATCGTTTAGCCAAACCTCTGTCCTCCAACTACTATGAGTACATCAAGCTTTCTGAGTCGTTTCATTGAAGCCTCTCCCACTAGACTTAAGGTGAAAACCGAAACCCCTCTTTCCTTCCCTCTGCCCAGGGATGAGATTTGCAGCACTCCAATGGTTCTCTCAAAACATTCTTCTCATAGAAACCTTAATCTTTACTCTCACAACTCTTTTATAGCCTTCTGGTGGGTTTTAGAGCC